ACTACTACTGCTACTACTACTACACTCTTGCTATCACCTTTCTGAACCGAGGTGAGGTGGCCGAAGTGCGGGCCCCCACCTGGCAAGACTCGGGCCGCTTGCGTGCAGGGCTCGGTCGAGCAGGGGTTGTCGTTTTCAGGACTTTTATACGGTTTCAGTTTCTTCGTTCTTTAAGACGCAGTGTTCGTTTCTTCGTGTTCGGCTCCCTATCCTGCTCCATGTCTTCACAGCCCCCACCCGATTGCTTTAAGTCTTCCCTAGCGCCTTGCAGTCCAAAATGGAGAAGGGAGTTCGTGTGTGCGCGGAGAGCGCGTGAAGACGGGGGATTTAAGGATGGACAGGAACTGAGAGCCAAAATCCGAGAACTAAGCCGTTTGACATCCCGTAGTGCAGGCAAAAACGAGAATTGAGTATTGGCAGTGCATCCTTATGAATCCTTGGTCATCCGAACCTAATCAAACTGCATTGCAGGAAGCATGAAGAGTAACGGCCGGATTAATGTCAAATGTGAGTTTGAAAAAGAGCAAATGTTGAGAGTTTCGGAAATGACATTAGGGTTGAGACTTGAGAAATATGCAGATGAGTTGCTGCAACTAGCGGCCGAATCAAGGCACTTGCTTGAGGAAATCGTTAATTCACTTGCTTGCGACACGAGAGGGATTTGAGTAAATCTGCAGGGGACGTCGCAAGCGAGATTTCTGTAAATGGATGTGCGCAAATATAGAGAGAGTACGAAGCGCTGTGTTCGCCTTTGCCGGCACTCTCTAAGCACCGTACGTCTTGAGCGGTCATGAAATCTCGCTCAAAGCCCATCAGGCACAGCAGGGAACACGAATTTGATATGCGGTTCGTTGTGGAGTGGTGGCGTAGGTGTTAGCGGGCCCACGGGGAGGGATGAGGCCGTAGATAGGTTTTTCTAAACTTCTCATCGGCCGCATCTGAGGCGAATTATGACACAAATCTAGAGGCATGATCAAAACTACGATAGTGGGCGATGGTATGCGATGGCAATGGCGATTCTGCTGGTGATGTTGTGTATGGTCATCATGATCGACGTCATCATCATCATCATCAACATCACTGACCGCACCATCATCACCAGCATCACCATCATGATCATCATCATGATCATGATCATCATCATCATCTTCGTAGAAGTGGGATGCTCTGCTGTCTTGGAGGCGGTTATGCTCACGTGGTGCTGGGCAGCGGGGAGAGCAAAGACAAAGCCCTCGCGCTGAATGGGAGCAAGGTTGGCAAGCAGGCAGCGACAGAGCTCAAAAGCACAAAAACTACGGCCCTGTGTCTTGTGCTTGCATGATTTGTGCTGCAGCTATGTGGCAAACGCCCTTAGAGTTGTGCTTTGGCAAAGGGCCGCTATCTGAAGATCGAGCCTGCCAAGCAGCCGGGCGAAGGCCATGTGGAGAGCAGAGTAAAGCATACCAGGATGCATGGGACAAGTGCTGCATGTCCGAGTTGGCAGGCAAGTCCGCTTCTGCGGGGACGGAGGACTTGGAAGGAAAGCGCCAATGCCCCAGTTCGCTGCAAAGGCTGTCGCCTGGAGCCGCCGAGTTCAGCAACAGGCCGACTCTTCGTGAAGAACTTGCCTTACAGCGCGACGGAAGACGACATTGCAAAGCTCTTCGTAAAGTGTGGCAAGGTGAGGCTTCGTGTAGCAGCCTAGGATGTGCGCCCGCCTGTCTCGTCAGGTGGTTGAGATCAGAATCCCACACCAAGCCGGAAGGTCGAAGGCCTGGAAATGCACTGCTGCTGGTACTGTAGCGGCTAGCCGAGCATGTAGCGTGCCCGGTCTGGCAGGGCTTTGCCTACGTCGAGTTCGCGAAAGCCAAGGCGACTTGGGAATTCGTCGTTGCGGGAAAGGTCGTGTAGAGCAAGTCTGCCTGTCTGAACACTACAGCCATAATGCCTCAACGCAGTGCATGAATTCTTGCACCAAGCCGAGCCACAACAGACGGGTCAGGGACTTCAAGCTGCCATGCTTTTGGACCCTGCCCCATCGCCAGAGCCTGTGTGGTGAGCATGCCAGCAGTAATGCTTTGAAGTACTCCAAGACCCTGAAGAAAGTCCCGGCTCGAGACCGAGGTTGCAAGGACGTAAGCTGTGGCTCGATGCAGATTCGGGAAGTGGGTGTAGCCCTGAGATGCCCTGAGGACAGCTTTTAACTTGCCTGTACATCACTACCCATGCCAGTGAAGCGCGGATGGGCTGCACACATCGCGTCGGCTGGTTGTGAAAATCTTGTCGAGAGCATTTTCCAAGGCCAAAGGCTGGTTTCCACCATCGCGCGGAGGTCGGGGCTGTCTTGGCCGTGTGCATCCTGCAAGCTGAAGTCATCAGGCATTTCAGTCCAAGTTTGGCCCAGCAAAGCCGTCTGGAAAGACGAAGCAGGTGCAAGTATTGAGAGGTTCTTGTTTTCTGATCTGTCAGCATCAATTCCGCCTGCCTGCAGGGTCCAGCTATGGATCGGTCAGAGCCCCAGACCTTGTGGGTAAGGTCTGTTTGCTGCCAAAATACGGTCCGAGGCAGAAGGGCGCCTCGAAGAAATTGTCGTTATTCTAGAAAAAAATCCATTGGATCTGGATCAATCCATCTCTCCTGATGATACTGGTCATTGGAATCTATTTATATATCTCAATTTAATCTACATAAAGAAACGTTACAACTGACCCTTTTTCGTGTGGCCACCCTCCGGGCCAGCAATTCCTCTGAATTTCTGGAAAATTCAGGAGTTCGGGAGGGCTTTCGTTTTGCCTCAAAATTCCTCGAAAATATCGAATCTCGGGCTTACTGCGTAATTTACCCTCTAAATTTAGTTTTCTCCATATAAATTTCTAGAAAATTTAGAATATGGATATAGAATTCTTCTTTATTTTATTTGATACTATTATATACGATATTTATAGAGAATTAATTTTGATTTCATATCTGCAAAAAAGAATATTTTAAAAAGAATTGAAGATTAATTCTTATTCATTTTTAGATCGAATTTTCGAGAGGTTAATTTTTAATTTTGTATTCTATATTATGAATTTTTTTTGGATATCTAAAATTCGATAATGTTATCTATTTTTTAGTCTATTTCTTGGCATTATTGAGAAAATTTCTGAAATCTATATATTATTTGAAGATTTATAGATTCTAAATTTCTAGAAGGTTGAATAAATAGACATAGAATATTTTATTTTTTTGGTTTTTTTATTTATAGATTTTAAAATTTAGGTGTGTGTCTATATATATTTTACGAAAGATAGAATAATTTTTGACTCGGAAACAATTGATTTTTATTGATTATTTAGATGAATAATTCGTAATATTAACTTATATAATTAAACTCATAAATCTTTATATTGAATTTAGATTTTTAACTATG